CAGCATCATCATCATCATCATCATCATCATCATCAATCTCATCATCATCATCATCATCATCATCATCATCATCAGCATCATCATCATCATCATCATCATCATCGTCATCATCATGATCAGCATCATCATCGTCATCATGATCAGCATCGTCATCATCATCAGCATCATATCATCATCAGCATCCTCATCATCATCATCATCATCATCCTCATCATCATCATCATCATCATCATCATCAGCATCAGCAGCATCATCATCATCATCATCATCATCATCATCATCATCATCATCATCATCATCAGCAGCAGCATCATCATCATCATCATCATCATCAGCAGCAGCAGCAGCAGCAGTATCATCACCATCATCATCGTCATCATCATCAGCAGTAGTATCATCATAATCATCCTCATCAGCAGCATCATCATCAGCATCAGCATCCGCATCATAATCCGCATCATCATCAGCATCATCGGAATCATCATCATCATGATCATCATCATCATCAGCATCATCAGCAGCAGCATAAGCATCAACATCAGCATCATCATCACCACCATCATCATCATCGTCAACATCAGCATCAGCATCAGTGTCAGCATCATCATCATCATCAGCATCATCATTATCATCATCAGCATCGTCATCATCAGCAGCATCGTAATCATTATCATAAGCAGCATCATCATCCTCAGCCTCATCCTCATCATCAGCCGCATCAGCAGCATCATCATCATCATCATGATCATCATCATCCACCATCATCATCATCATCATCATCATCAGCAACAACATACAACATTATCATCATCATCGTATCCGTCGTCATCATCGTACCATCCTCATCACCGCCATCATCATCGTCGTCAACGTCGTCATCATCATCGTCATCCTCATCGTCCGCGTCATCATCATCATGATCATCATCATCATCATCATCATCATCCTCATCATCATCGTCATCCGCATCAACATCATCATCATCATCATCATCATCATCATCATCATCCGCATCCTCAGCCCCGTCCGCATCATCATTATCAGCATCATCATCATCAGCATCAGCAGCAGCAGCAGCGACATCATCGTCATCAGCAGCATCCCCATCCTCATCCTCAGCATCATCATCAGCGTTAGCAGTATCATCATCATCATCAGCATCATCATCAGCATCTTCATCGTCATCGTCATCGTAATCATCTGCATCAGCATCATAATCATCATCATCAGCGTCCTCATCAGCATCAACATCACCATCAGCGTCAGCGGCAACATCATCGTCATCAGCAGCATCATCATAACCGTGTCATAGTCATCATCATCATCATCATCATCATCATCAGCAGCATCACCATCTTCACCCGCATCATCATCAACATCATCATCAGCAGCAGCATCCTAATCAACAGCAGCATCAGCATCATCAGCATCATCATCATAATCATCGTCAATGTCATCAGCATCATCATCAGCAGCAGCATCAGCATCATCAGCAGCATCGTCATCACCATCAACATAATGATCATCAGCATCATCAGCACGATCATCATCATCATCATCAGCAGCAGCATCCTCATACGCATCATCTGTTCTGCCTCATCATCAGCAGCAAAATTACCATCGTCTGCATCATCGTCATCATCAGCAGCGGCATCATCCACAGCAGCAGCAGCATCATCAGCTGCTTCATCATCGCCATCATCATCAGCATCAGCAGCATCATAGTCGTCATCATCAGCAGCAACATCAACATCCTCAGCAGCATCATCAACATCATCAGCAGCAGCCGTAATATCATCATCATCATCACCAGCAGCAGCAACCGCATCATCATCATGATCATCATCATCATCATCATCAGCAGCATCAGCATCAGCATCAGCATCACCAGCAGCATCATAAGCATCATCATAATCAACCTCAGCCTCATCCCCATCATCATCAGCGGCACCATCAGCACCATCAGCATCAGAATCAGCATTATCATCATCAGCATCATCATCAGATTCGAAAGCATAATCATCATCATTATCATTAACATCATCGTCATCAGCATCATCATCGGCATCATCAGCATCAGCATCATCATCAGCAGCATCATCGGCATCAGCATCAGCAGCATTATCAGCACCAGCATCAACATCCTCAGCAGCATCATCAGGATCATCAGCATCATCACCAGCATCGGGATCATCATCGTAATCAGCATCATCATCAGCATCAGCATCAGCATCAGAAGGATCGTCATCATACTCAGCATTAACATCATTCTCGTCAGAATCATCATCATCTTCAGTAGCATCATCATTATCAGCATCATCATAATCATCAGCACCAACATCATCATCATCATCATCATCAGCAGCATCATCATCATCATCATCATCATCATCATCATCATCATCATCATCATCATCGGCATCATCAGCATCATCGTCATTGGCATCACCAGTCTCAGCATCACCATCAGCGTCATCATCAGCATCATCATCATCCGCCTCCTCCTCCTCTTCCTCCTCCTTCTCCATCCTTCATCCTCCATCCTCCACCCAGTATCCTGCATCCTCCTCCAACTTCTCCTCCTCCTCCCCCCCCTCCTCCTCCTCCTGATCCTCCTCCTCCTCCTGATCCTCCTCCTCCTCCTGATCCTCCTCCTCCTCCTTTTCCTCCTCCTCTTCATGCTGTTCATTCTCCACCCTCCTCCTCCTCCTCCTCCTTCTCCTCCTCCTCCTCCTCCTCATCGTGCTTAACTATCCTCCTCCCCATCATCACAATCCTCATCATCATTCTCCAGCTCTTCCTAGCCGACAGGTTTCCCGAAAGCTGCCCAGCGCTGTGACGCTTCCGATTTGCTCCGCAAACCGCCTGCCCTCTGGGGGACCGTTTTGGTCACCGGGGCTGACTGGCATGCAGACTTCCTCTCATGTCCTGCCCTCCCTCCACCGAGATCTCCTACGATCTCCGTGTTTCAACCAGCGTTCGCTCCTCAATTTCGGCCTCTGGGGGGCCTCCTGCGGGCCCTGGGGCCAACACACATGGATCGCAAGGGACAAACTACCCCGACGGGGAAGCAAATCGGGCCCACGGAGGCCGCGGACTGAACCGTCCCGAACCGACGGTCCCCCCCGCCGTTTTCCCAAGCCTCCCTCCGTCCGAGCCACCCCGCTCGTCCTCCTCGCCCAGTTCGCTACACTCCACCTAGAAAGGATGGGCGTCTCGCGGGGAAGAAGCTTGATCAGCGGCGACTTGACGAGGTCGGGACAGCCGAGGGGCACATTGGAGCCGACGTGGGCACAAAGGAGGGAAGAACGGGCGCAGAAAGGAAGGGCGCGCGGGCAGGAGGAAGCCGCGGGCGGCGGAGCACGCTCAGGCCGTGAAGATCGTGCACGCGCGTGCCAGGAGCACGGGCACAAACCGGGCGGGGAAGAAACGGACATAGGAAGGAAGTACTCGCCGAACGCAACACGCTCGGGGAGCAAGCGGGAGGACGTCCGCGCGAGGGGGGAGGGCCCGTGCCCGAGTGGTGCCCGACCGAGGAGGCCAGCGGTGATGCCGAGAGAAAGAAGCGCCTCCCCGTCTCCGCCAATGGCCATGACCACTGCCCCGCCTCCCTGATACCACGCAGGAGCCATGCTACGGAGGTGGCGGCGCTGCTGCGGCTGCGATACGGAAGCGATGTCCGATGTGTTGCATCAGGGGGCTGTCGTAGCCTTGTTGTGGCAAAGACTCGGTGATGGTGCCTTCTGGAGGAGCGAGGAAGGGCTTGAGCTAGAGCGGCCACGGACCCATCCCGAATTGACATCCCACCCTCTCTCAATAATCCTCCCTGCCCGCCTCTACATCTTTTCCCTCCTCCCTTTCCCCCTGTTCTTGTCCCCATCCTTCTCCAGCTCCCTCCCTCTCACACTCCTGCCCCTTGTCCCCCCCCACACACACACACACACACACACACACACACACACACACACACACACACACACACACACACACACACACACACACACACACACACGCACACGCACACGCACACACACACACACAAACGCACACAACGCCCAGCCCACCCCCTCTCCCTCCCCCCTCTCTTTTGCTGATCATGCTCCTCCTCATCCTCAACCTGCTCCCACTTTTCGCCCTCAATCCTCAAACGCATGTTCGCGTATGCACCGGTCCTGGGCCCAGGATGGGCCCGGCCAGGCCAGGACCAACGAGGTGGTCTTGGAAAGGGTATAAAGGCATAAACAGAAGATTTCGAAGGTCCGCGCGGATTTCTTGGATTGGCGCGGACCCTCCTCCCTGGAGCGCAGAGTGCGCCGGGAGCAGCACCGAAGGCGCCGCCAGGGGAGTCAGTCGCAAATCCAAGAAATCCGCGCTAATATTTGAAAAGGTATGCTTGTGCCGTCTTCTCTTCTTCGATGGTCAGTTGACGTCCCCCGACAATCCACTGGGGGCTCCCGTATCAGGCGTTGGCCTCGGCTCTCGTCCTGGGGCGGGGGCCTCCTTCGCAGCGGGTCTGATCTAAACCCTCCTCCTACTAATCCTCCTCGCCGTCCAGCTCATTGCCGGCATCCTCAGCATCTTCCCGCCCCACCTATCCCTAACCCACCCACATCCTCCTTCTGCGCCTCCGCCTCTGCCTCCTCCTCCTCCTCCTCCTGGC